ATGTTTCACTCCTCATACCTGAAATTCTTGATCTTGATGGTGCAATCTTGGACTTCTGACATGTGTCACACTGCTTCACTACCTTTTCATACTCTTCATAGATCTTAGCAGGAATCTTCAAAGCTGATGTTCGTTTCTTGAACTGCTCAGTTGACATGTGGTAGTGCTTCAAATGCAGTTTCAAGAGCTCAGTTGGATGAGATAGCTTTTCATGGATTCTCTGCAATGCTAACGGCAATGTTACAGAAACCTTAGGAGCTTTCTTCTCTCGATGTACTGTTGTTGGTATTGGTTTCACGTCTTCCTTGGATTCTTCCTGAGGATCAGGCTTCACCGGCATGTCAGGTTCTGCTGGAGGTACGTCAGGCTTACCGGCTCCTGAGCTCGAACTTGGAATCTTCGAATGCTCAAATGGCGTACCAAAATCTGGTGACTTCTCTGTCTTCCGGTATGTCGGAGGTGTCACCTTCTTAGCCGGTGGAGGCATCGAAATGAGCTTCGATGGCGGATCGACTTTGGCATCTCCACTTGCAATGAGTTTATCTGGCTTCTTAGCCGGAATATCGGCTGCTGACTTGTCTTCCTTCACTTCGGATGTCTCTGCCTTCTTGCATCCATCCTTGTATGTGTGCTTGCGATGCTTTCTGCTGCAGGCAGGACAGGCTCCGTACGAAGGATTGATTGCAGTAAAACTGTGGTTTGGCTTACGAACTGAGCTGGCAAACATCATGATGTCTAGGACATTATGATTCGAAGTGCTCACTGGCAGGGAAAATCGCTTCAGACCGAACAAAGGACAAGTCAGATAGTCACCGACTGGAGTATGCTCAATAGACATGCGAAGGTTCCTGAGCTGCTCAACGCTGAAAAGGATTGGAACGTCGCCTTGGTCTAGAATATCTATCGCTGTTGTGATCCACCCTGTGGGTGACTGGTCGTTCTGAAAGTAGATTACCAGCTTCTCTCGGACATTGGACTGTTCACCGTTTGCAAATGAAAGAGAAATTAATCTTAGATGCATTGTAGTGTCTCTTACATGCCTTCACTAGACGCATGATGGCGGTCCTTGAACCCATTGCTCTGGTACAGCCGCTGTCAATGATCACGTAGGTCGGACTGTACCTCAAGTCGATGTATTCAGAAAGCAAAGCATGGTGAAATCCATCGTCAAAGTTGACAAATGAAGAACAGAAGCGGGGATCAATCACTTCAGAACAACCGGAATGTCGGTAGTCTGTACTGCTACCGGCAGGGTTTAGGTGATACGGCTGTGAAACATGTTCTGCACCAGTCATTTCTTCTGCGTGTGTTCCGTAATACCGGAAATCTGCTGACTGGTTCATCTGGCCAGGCCTTGGCTCTGAGCTGTGGTGCTCTTCATCTTGCGGTCTGTCCGTCTGTCCGTCCGCAAAGTATGTCCATTGTTGCCAAGTGGCTTCATTTGCCTGCCAGACATCTTCAGGATAGTACTGGTCTGTGTGGTATCCATACGAGTCCCATGACCAATTTGCTTCATGTGCACTCCAGGTTTCTTCGGCATTAGTGGATGGTTGAGCTGATGAAGGCTCTTCGGTGGTTGCAACATTGGATTGTTGAAAGGGATTCTGTTGCTTGCTTTTTCCTTTGCCTTTGAATGCATCTTTTCCCTTGAATCCTTTCTTTCCACCTTTCTTTCCCTTCTTGCCTTTCCCATAGAAACCTGAGTTGTCAGGGTACTCTGCATAATGTGCCCCTGCACCTTTGCCTCTACGGCTGATAAAGCCGGGTCTTCTGCCTTTTCCGCGGCCTTTTCCTTTGCCGCCTTTGGATGGTTTTCTGAATCTTCTACCATGGATTCTTCTACGGGTGTATCCTCCTTTGGCTGCTAACACCCAAAATTCGGACTCTGAGAACAAACTCACAAATCCTTCTTCGCCTGTTTCTTGATCCATCACCCAGTATCCGGATTCTTCTTCCAAGTCTCCTTCATCGAGGACAAGGAAAGTGGATCTTCTTTGCCTGCGGATCGAAGGATCGGCAGTTCCTGTGGCGGTTCCGCAAAAGAGATCAAGGAATAAGCCTTTGACACCTAAGTATGTGTAGTTGTTCATGTTGATCTGACGCAAGGCCATGCTGGCTACAAACCTTTCTCTCTGCTGTTCGTTAAGATCCGACTGAACTAAGAAAATAAGTGACATCAGGTTGTCAGACAATGGAAAGGTGTCACGATGTGCTTGTTTCAAAGCATCAATGTGTTCAGAACGGATTCTTTCTGCGTTCTCTCTTCTTTCTGCGGGATCTTGAAGCCCTTGAAGTAGCATGTACTGCTGTTGCGAGAGGATATCAGTAAAGTTGAAATCATCAGGCTGTGGAACAGTCGAAAGATCTAACAAGCCCATGAAGGCTTCCATGACTTTCTTGCTAGCGACTTCAAAACGAGCGATCCAGCTTACAAATTCCCCGTTTCCGCGCCAGGTCCTGAAGAGCTGCATGAAACGCCAGAGAAAAACATGATTTGCTCCTTTGACAAAGTATGGTCGCAACGTCTCTTTGAAATACGTAATACCGTTTCTTTCATGATGAAGCTGTTCATTGTCGAGCATTTTCTTGTAGTATTCGGCGTTTCCGGTTAGAGCGTTCTTCAATGATGGGCCTAATTTTTCGGCGCTTAATGTGGTGATGTTCACCCAGTCATCAATCAAATCTTCAAACTCAAGCCAAGATGACTGTCCATCGAATGACGGAGGAATCTTTGGCGTCATCTTGACACCTGCTGTTGGCTGTGCCTCGTACGTCCGGTATGTCGAACTCGAGGACCTTCCATGCTGTTGGCGATGACGCGAACCTTGAGCTGCAAAAGCTTCTTCTGGATCTGTTACGTCAGATAGGTCGCTGTCATGCTCTTCGTCCGTATCTATGTTAAAGATCTGGACCATGGTCTATTTGTTTGACAAGTGACTGACTTGGTTGTCCCCTGTCCGGAATATCGGACGATTCGGCTCGAAGGCAAAATCGACCAATGCGAAGCAGGAGACACAAGCTCCGCTACCACTTTGAGGGGTAAGTTCCCCCAGAAGTGGCAGTTGGAATAACTGGACCTGATCGAAACACCAAGCAGTCAAATACAAGCGGTCGGTGTGCGAGCTGCGGCGAAGCACACCTTTTCTATGGCAGTGAATGCAGTATTGGGCTGCTGAGTCTTGAGCCAAATGAATTATGTCGAAAGCGGACTGAAGAGCTACAGATAGATGTATGTACAAGAACAGGTGCTACACACGTATAGCGTAGACACGCCCAGGGGGACCTAGGACCCTACTAAACACAGGGGGAGGGGGAGGAGTCTGTATTGAGAAATCAATTCCAAGGGGGGCGGGGGGGGGGGGTCTGTATTGAGAATTGAGAAATCAATTCGAGGGGGGGGGTTGAATTGAAGAATCAATTATCAGATCCGGACGCGGCAACACTTGCTTCGCAAGACAAACTCAAGGTATCCCCTAAAGGGCTACCTTTCGTGATTATATGGAATTTATCAGGACAACCTAGATTTTATCAACCAATATCTGCTGGCAAACGACCAATTGCCGAACACCGGCCGACTTCGCTGAATAGTCAGGTAAGGCAAATTTGGTATTAATGTGATCATCAAACTTCATCATAAAGGGATTGTTTCCAGTTATTGCGTCCAAAATTTTATTTTGTTTTGAAATTTTTTACATATAACGTTTATTGAGGATATGAGAAAAATACCATACCAAGATTGTCAGAATCTGTTGATGCTGCGCCGCGCAGCCGGTATTGACCATGCAAAGTCATGAGTTGGCATGTGATGATGGTACTTTCAGTCACGCTCGCCGCCTCGAATCAGGTTTCAGAGCCTTGGCGAACTGAAAAGGCTGTGATCGACGGCAGCCGCTTTTTGCACTACTTCTTTGTTGGGGACTTTGCGAGCCCTATTCGCTGAACGACCCTCACCAACATTGATTGTCCATACGCGCTGGACATCGTCGGGCCAAAAACCAAAACCGAAAGAAAGCCTCACCGAGCCCACCCCCACCGAGGTAACCACAGCAGCGTTCTGGCCAGGAACGACTGCCGACTCCAATGACACAAAGTGGAGGAAGAGGTATACAATCTGGAGGAGTGCACCACAACGTCCTCCCTTCTCCCTTTGTTCAAGTCACTGGAGGGTGCCGACCTGTGAGCAGCAAACGAGGGAAGCCATAAAGCAACGGAGGTTCCAGACCTACAAGGACTGGAGTGGGTTTGCCTTTTTGGCATCCCTGTCCGCACGAGTACACCTCCCGACCTCACCACACCTCAACGAAACCCAACTTACCCGCTCCAGCTGCAGTCACCGTGATCACGGCTTGCAGCCAAAGTTGGCATCGCTACTAGCAGCAGCAGCCAGAAGAAACAAACGTAACAGGGTATAATACTGTGTTTGAACTGAACCAATTGAACCCCAAATCGGACTCGAAAAGGACGTGAAGAAACACAACGCACAACGCCATGTGCGACACAACTCAACCTCGTCCAGAAAACGAATGTTCATGAAAAATACAGCATCGCACCGCTGCTGTGCCGGTTTGGAAAGGTCAAACGACCATACACCACGAAAAAGAACAAAAAAGCAGCCTTAGGAAAGCTCCACCAAAGACTGCAGAAGCCAACATAGCAGCTTCAGCTGATTGTTTTACACTAGGAGCTCTCTGCTTGGAGGAAATCATGCACTTTCTATTTTGTTATCCAGCTCGGAGAAGGCAGGGTTTGGAATGGATGGGCTCAGTCAGCTCAAACGGTCTCGCCCTTCTCTGCAGCACCTCGAATAGGTGGCTCAGCCGATGCAATACTGTTTCTTTACTTACCGCTCGAGCCTCTGTTCATTCCTCATTTTGCTTAAGAAGGATCTTGAAGGGATGCCTTGGGGCCAAACAGGGCACTTTGATCTGTTGAGTGGCAGGCATCAAACATTACTCTTCTTGTATTTTCTTGCTTCGTCTGAAAGGCAAACGCTCGAACTTTCAGCACCGCCGATGAGCACGATCCCTTCTCTTCGACTTCGCACCCGCTCGACTGACCGACTCCTTGGCCTCCTGACGCCTGTCTGCCGCCTCAACGGCTCGCTTCACATCCGCCCTCATCTTGTCCACCGTGTTCACGTCCACCCTGAAAAACGCAACGGAAAGGAGGTTCAAGCAGGAGACGATTCGGATCCAAAGCGCATGGGTTGTAGTGGATTCATATCCCTTCTTGTGTTTGAAGAGGCAAAACAAACATCTGCACGTATCTGCACGATCGGCAGACTAAACTAAACATATCACCAACGGCGTGCCAACGCCGGGCGCTCCGAGAATCGCTTCGCCTCTGGCGTTTGAGACGGAACGCCACTTTGGCGAAGATGGGATCGCGCATGAGGCCCTTGAGGCGCTTGGCCTGGCGCATTTCACATCGCCACGAACGGAGCAAGAATGCCAAATAGTGGCTCCTGGCCTTACTACTAGTTACAAGGACGCTACTAGGGGCTCCTGGCCCAATCGGCCGATCACTTTGACTCCCCAACGCCCGGGGCGTGTCACGTCGGACGTGACGTCTGGGCCACCCGAACCGGCAGCCCAGTGCCAGCGCACTTCTGACAGACCCGCTCGCCCACACCATTGCATTCAGGACCTGTGGAGTCGACGCTAACAAGAAGCTACTAGGAGCAGTCTTTGAAGCTACTAGGAGCAAGAAGCTATTAGGAACAAATGGCCTCCAACCTAAGAGCGATTGCATTCAGGACCTGTGGAGTCGATGAAGCTGGGGTATGGGATGGGTACCGGGTACATCCTGTACACCCAGTGCCGAAAAAGTCCGCAAGGCAGCCAGAACTCTTGCTCAGTTGGGGTAGTTGGGCAGTAGACCTGAAATCACAGGAACCATTCTCTTCTTCCAAGCTGGGGACGACTTGCGAGATTCCACGGCTGCTTAAAGAGCTGAACATGCCAGGAGCCGTGTGTCCAAGCTGTTTTCTTTTCGGTTCAGAAAGAGAGGAAAAGGAACTGGAAACAGTGACTTCTTCGGTAGAGTGGCTGTGCAAGGACAAGATGATGAATCCATGTCCGCCTCAGTCAAAAGAAACCAAGCAAAGCTGACACATGGCAGGGCTCCCGGCAGGTTACGAACTGCTTCACTGGCATGCCTTCAGCGGCGAACGTTGCAGGAAATTTTGAGATAATCTTTTGGCCCACGAGCCTCTGAACATGAGAGAGGATAGTCATCTGCCTCCTTTCTTGTGGGTGTTCCATGAACATTGGAGGGTGATCGAGAAAGCCAGACCCTGGGCAGATCGATCGAAGTCTTCACTTTTTCAACCATCTCTCTGTCCAGGTGTCTCACCCGAACACTTCAGGCGGAAACAAGTCAAAAAGCAAGTCTTTTTGCTTCATCAGTTGGAGGCCATCGCTAATAGGGTTCATCAGAAAGATTACTTCTAGAGCAAAAGTCAGTTTTGTTTGCCTCGGCAGGCGATGCAACCCCTGGACTCCAGCCCCCTTCTTCAGACTTGTCTGAAACTCCTCTGGGTGTCAAACGCTCGCTGTCGGTGCCCCACCTGAGCCACGGCTGAGGCAAAGATCCTTGAGATTGCCTAGTCCCGTTCTTGCTCCTAGTAGCGATGCCCTTTGCTCCTAGTAGCGTCCTAGTAGGCTGAGGACAAGGATCCAATTAAGGAACATGCTGCATAGCATTGCCTAGCCATCTCAAGGGAGGATCTTCATTACATGGCCAACATTGTTGACATGTTAACAAATGCCAACGGCCTTTTCCATTGCTAACATCAATTAACCACACAGTAATCCGATGGTGAGCCTATCTCTTCATCAATTTCATCCATCTCCCGTTCTGGCTGTAACTGGTGTGCAGCCAACCACCAGCAAACCTTTGAGTTGAGTTTGACAAAATGGGTTCAACTGGTGCGCCTGAATGATCTGCTTTGGAGGTATATAATGACATGAACGTCAAAGTTGAATGAAATGATCTTGCTTTACTAGCCTGGAATTTTCAGGTGGCTTCAAGTATCCACAGCCTTTCAAAGGCCTCAAAATCCCATAGCTGGACACATTCTGCCGTATTCTCCCTCTTTCAGACCAAACCTCACCGAGGCTCGGTTTCTCAATGCTGACGAGAGAACTCTTCCTAAACGTTTGATGGAACATGAACAAAAGAAGTACGACAAAGCAGGGCTAGTGTGACCCCCCCTCCTGCACAAAACCAAAGGACTTCACTCCTAACTCAACTAGGTTGGAGGCCATCGCTACTAGGGCGGAGGCCATAGAGGCAGAACGCTACCTAGGGGTCCGCACGTCCGGAACTGGCCAGTGCCCTCGCACATGGCGCCTCAGAGGGGCATGGCTTGGAAGAAAAAACGTGCTTGGCCAGAAAGTAAGCTTGTGCAAGTGGTTCGTTTGCAAGTAAGACTGAAATCTGAGACTTAACGCCTTGTTGGACGTATTTCTTGTTGGCAATAGTTTTTCGTCCAAGGCAAAAAGGAATCAAGTGTCAGGCTCTGGGATCTTTGATGTAGCCTCGTCCTGACTGAATCCCAAAATCAGAGCAGCCTTTCAAAGGCTTCCATGGCCACGACTGAAACCACCGTCGAAGGCCCAGTCCAAAGCAGCGATGCCCCTGAGCCGGCACCCTCACGCTCAGGCCCCCGACAGGCAACAAGCCCGCTGGATTCCTGAAGAAATAACAAGACACGACGTCTTTTCGCGAGGAACTTGGGAGGAAGTCCTTTTGAGACTAAGAGACTTTGGCCTTCAATTCCAAGACCTTTCGTGAATCTCTTGGTGAAATTCAGCTTGCAAAGTAGGAGATCACTTGATTTACAACTTTCTGGATCAAGCACCCAAATGGGATGGACTTGAAGTCTGGAAAGGCATGTCCAGGCTCCCGTTCCAACGCTATGGGAAACAAATGGATTCACACATTCCACTGAGCTGGATTTCTATGTTGCTCTCAAAAACAGAAAACAATTGACATACATCGCTACCAGGTTGGAGGCCATGACTACGAGTAGCAAGAAGCTATTGAGTTGGAGGCCATTGACGAAGGCCTTGAGGCCTCAAAGGCGTTGAGACCTCTTGAGACCTCACGTCTATTTCTTGTTTCTAACAGCTTCTTGCTCCTAGTAGTATGGCCAGAATCCCTAGTAGCGTCCTTGCTCCTAGTAGTATGGCCAGGAGCGCCTAGTAGCGTCCTTGCTCCTAGTAGTATGGCCAGGAGCACCTAGTAGCGTCCTTGCCCCTAGTTTCTTTTTGCCTGTGAGTCTATACGGAAGTGGAGGTCGTCACCCTTGTGCACCACGAATCATGAACAGCATTTGGAGCTTGCGCCAGAAGAATACATTCTTTCATTGTGCTTTCTTCTTTAGATCTTCAGAATCTTATTGAATCCTTTAGACTTTTCTCTTTTTCTTTCCTTTCTTTTTATTTTTTGTTATATTATTCTTCTTTCTTAAGACATTTACACCTTTCTTCTCTGGTTTACTTTCCAAAAAATACCTTAACAATCTTAAACATGTTCGCCATCCTGTCCGCCAGACCCTGGGCCCCGGGCACACTCTGCGCACCCCGTGTCGTCCACTTTCATGTCCAACTGCCGAGGACGGACCCGTCGCCGAACGGCGCCGCTGCGGGTGGAGGCCAACCGAACGAGGAGCCCCTAGTAGCGTCCTTGCTCCTAGTAGCGATGCACTTGTTTCTACTAGCTTCTTGTTGCTACTAGTAAGGCACTTGTTACTAGTAGCGATGCACTTGTTCCTACTAGCTTCTTGTTACTAGTAGTAAGGCCCTTGTTCCTAGTAGCGATGCCAGGAGCCCTTAGTAGCGATGCACTTGATACTAGTAGCGATGCCCTTTGTTACTAGTAGCGAACATCGCTCCTAGTAGTAAGGCCAGGAGCCCCTAATAGCTTCTTGTTACTAGTAGCGTCCTTTCAAACCATGTAGTTTTCATCCTTAGAATTCCTTTTCGACATAATTTGGTTGCTTCATTCTTTCAGGTTCCAGCGGGGAAATGGATGGACTTGATTCGTCCAGAGGACCGCATGGACTTGCTAGATCATATGTCGTGTCGGAGACCGCATCAGATCACTCGAAACCTTGGATCTTTTCGAAAAGCGTAGCTTTGCGGTTCCATCCAAGATGTTTCTCGGAGGAACATATACAAAGATCTTGTCGCTTGATGTTTAGCTGCTCGTCTCGGAGGCGGATTTGGGTCAATTGAATTTGTTTCCTTTCACAGCCGTCCTAATCGAACATCCAATGACCCACAGTCGGGCTGACGGACTTGAGACCGCACTCCAGTCTCTACTGCTGAGGGCATGCCCGAGAAACCGCACGCCCTCGTGTTTGTGTATATGTACATATAGAATATTATATAGACATGCGAAGCACACGGGCGCAAGTACCCCTCGGAAGGAACTGTTTCTGTCCTTGCTAGGTGGGGCGCTTGAGTCGAGACGAGATCACCGGGAACGAGTGAGTTCGTGACCCTTGAATGCAAATTCTGCACGGGTCCATACTATTAAAAAATTCTAGTGCCACTTTCAATCAAGAGGTCCTTTCCCATCTTGTTTTCTCTTTCGACCAGAAACCAGGGACTCATCGTAAACGATCCGCCACCTACCACTTCGTTCATTGAACATGTGAATCTGATGAGGTTCATTGTCTTTGGTCAGGCTATTTGACAACTGACTTTCTCCGTTCACCCACCGCAGGTGAACCTGGTTGGCGTTCAGGGCCTCTTTCAAGCACAGGGTTTCAATGTCACTTCGCTTTTCAGCACCTCCTAGGGTCAAGATGGTGGAAGAAAGTCGATCGTACAGGTTACGACTGTCACTCACGAGGGCACCTGGGACCTTATTGACCGTTTCATCAGGGGACCATTCATTTCCATGGTGACCAAGGAATTCAGCCATCTGGAATCGAAGTGCATACATCTGGTCTTCCCCGTCCACAGCAGCTCGTGTTTCTGCTGATGCGCTCGAACGACAGACCCTCGAAATTTTCGAGGAACACCAAAAGATGGGGTTGACTTGTGAGAGTTCTCCTTGAAGGATCCTGGAATCTGTACATCCAATCAACACTCCCTTGGTGCTGCTCAAATCAGGCCTGTTGCCATAGGCAGCGTCAACCCAAGTTGTCAACATAAGATCATCTTTATTCAAGGTATGTATGATCATGCATTGCCCTTGCCTGGCCTTAGCCTTCTTAAGAAGCTTGTTTGCTTCGAGAAGGTCGGTCACCTGGGCCTTGGGCACTTTCGAAAGGAGAAGGCCTGTAGGGGCACTAAGTTCCATTGCTAGTTGCCCTGCATGCCATGCTAAACATCCAAGAACACTTCTCATCTGTTTTTGTTCTTCGGGAGATGCGGAAGCTTCAAGGTCTTTGCTTCTCTGTTTTGGTATGTAGATCTCTGACACTTGCTCCAGGAATTCTGGTTGTGAGACCTTGAAGGAGAAGTCTTCTCGTTGTTCAATGTTCACACCACACTGTACGAACTTCCCCTTCTCCCACTCTCCAAATTTGAACCGAGTAGTGATTGCTGATTTCACATGTTGCCAGCGCAAGTCGGTCTCGTCACCTCCAAACAAGAAGTCGTCGACGTGCGAGCAGATCCATGCTATAGGGCTCTGACTTTGATCAAAGAGTCCCCAGCAGCAGGGGTCGGCCTTTTGTCGAATGAATCCTTGTCGTTCCAGAAACTCATCCACTGACAAGTAGAATTCCAGTGGGGCTTGGACTAGGCCGTATGCTGCTTTGGCAAGTCTTGTGATCGAACCTTCAGGTAGGTTCATAGCTTCAGCAATTTCCTTGAGTGGTTCAATGAAGAGTTGGTCTTGAAATTCACGGCCCTGAAGGAAGGCGCCGGAGATATCTCCCTTTTCCACTCGGAAGTGGTGGGCCGCGCAGAGTGTCAAAAACAACTGCCTTGTACTTTTGTTCATCGTTGGGCTCGCCGTGGGGCGAGTCTCATACAGCGGGTCTTGATAACCCAGTATGACTGCGCGTGCCTTCGCTTTCTTCTGGTCGGGATTCTCCTTGTCGCATTTCCATGTCAGTATCCAGCGCATTTTCAACACCTGGCTGGCATCTGGCTTCATGTGGTCAGGGATCTTCTTGAAGACCTCCGCAAGGATGTAGTTTTTCACTTCTTTCTGTTTTGCCTGTCTAAACTGTTCTAGCTCTGTTGGTGACAGTCTTCGTTCGGATACCTCCACATGGTTCTTGCGGCTTTGACTGATCACAAACGCTGCCAGGTCGCGAAGCCAATGTTTTTTTTTCCTGTTTGCCTTGTCTGGCATGTCGATAGCAATTTGAATGCTACCATGTTCATCTTCCAGGAATGTTGCTGGTGTCTCTGACGCTAGTGCGATCAAGCTTTCATCACCTTCAGTCATCTGCTGATCGAGAGCTTCACGTCGATGGTGTTTTGCTGGTGGTTGTTCCGGTTCTGGTCCTTTCCGCCGATGTCTAAAGCGAGGAGGTGGTGGTGCTCCTGGTTGGTCAGGGATGATCTCTGGATCGTCATCTTCCTCCCAATCCAGTGGTGGTTCAACCTTGGTCAAATCCTCAAAGGTTTTGTTTTTACTCTGTTCCAGGATGCTGGTCACCGTCCATGGAAGAGGTTGGTCCTCTTTCAACTCAGCCCATGCTTCTTCCCGTTCGCTTGCATGCCTTAAGAGCTGGGGGGTGGCCTTGAGCAACTTGGTTCCACGGAAAATCCAAATATTTTGACCCGGTGTTCGTTCTCCGGTCTCCGACAGTTTGGTCTCGGTGGCCAACACACGAGCGGGACCTATGAACCCACCTTTCTTGAACCCTTGACCTTTCACCTCATGACCATGACCAGCGAGTTGTTTTCTCCAATAAAGCACAAGGTCACCTGGTTTGTAGGTGTTTTGAACCCTACTTCCGGAGGCCTGTGCCCTGGAAAGCCTATGTTTGTATTGTTCTTCAATGAAGGATTCCTCAGCAATTTTCATGGCTTTGTTGTCTTCTCCAAACTCGGCGGTCACACCTCTTTCGGTGATCAGCGGAACCTCGTCACATCCTCTGTCATGAATACATCCATCTTCACATGGGTTCCTACCAAGAACATGTTGAAGGGGGGAGAATCCAAGGTATTGGTCCCGAGAGTTCTGCGCCCAGAGCGATCGACAAAACACTTCTCGACACGACATCTCCGGGCACTCCGAAGCGAGTTTTGACATCATGTTTTTGGTGGTTTGGATCGCTCGTTCAACATGAGGGATCTTCCAATGGGCTTCGGCAGGAATCTGTTCATTGACAATCTTTTGATTCAACAAGTACTGGTCCAGGCGTTCACTTCTGAAAGGTCCAGCGGGGTCCATCCTAATGCAAGCGGGGTTTCCGAAAACCGGCTTCCAATACTCCTCCAAAAAGGTAATCAGGTCTTCACCTGACATGCTGATCTTCTTACCGGGTTTCAGGATCATCCCCCGTCGGAATCGGCTTCCCTCATCAATCCCCAAAAGGAAGTGGAAGTTCTCTTTGGTCTCAGGATGACTCCATGACCCTCCATCCACCTGAACGCGGGCCCATTTAGGTGGGATGTCTTCCAGGGAACCCTGAACTCTTGGTTTCGAGACGACATGTTCTTCGCAGGTCGAACAGCGGAAGTTTTTCGCAAGTTCAATGGTCTCATGGTCCGCGTTTCTCCTTTTGAGGGCCTTCACCAAGTAATCCCTACTGCAATGACCCGTGGCGGCGTGGATTCGACGAAGCACGCGAAGGACCGACGATTTTCGATCCGGCGACATGGAAAAAGCTTCTTCGATCCCTTTTTGAACCTGGTTGGAATTGTCATGACCATTGCTCATGTTCATGTCTCCAAAAAGGTTCATTCCATCTTTGAGTTCTTGGGTGACATGTTTGCAAAGATCATCCCTCTTCATGACATTCACAACCCTTTTGCAAAAGGTGGGCGTATAGAAGGCAGTTTGTCGGCATCTCTTTTGTCCCTCACATTTTCCATGAACATGGTCTCCACTACACTTAAGGGTCATATGGTGTATGATTCCTTTCGCCGTTCCCAACAACCTCCACCCTTTTCCCAAGAGCTCCCTTTGTTCATTTCTGAGGCCTACTTGACATCCTTTGCAGACCCCCGACACACACGGGACTCTGTTTGCAAAATGGAAAAGGGGGTTTCGTTCCACCCCTCACATCTCTCCGAGAGTTCAATGATGAAGGGGATATTTTCTTTGTGGGCTTCCTCCGCAATTTCACAACACCCTTTGTACTGCTGACGCGCACGGGCACGTTTTTCCGCAAGGTCTTGTCGTTGTTTCTCAGTTTTCATATTGAGATGTTGCATGGGAGAAAAAGGTCCACACTCTGGTGACAACCACACAAGACCAGGTCGAGTCTCCTTCATAACACGAATGATGTGCTGAGTGCCGGCCTTTGTTTCCACATCCCCACCATTGTAGGCGGAGAGTCGTCGTGCGCTCCCGTCGCCAAACACTCTGTTACATGTGTTGGAGAGTTCACTTTCGGGGTCACAACACACCTCCAACAACCTCAACCGATCCCCATAGGCCACCTGACACCAGTCACTCTCAAAACCACGAGAAAGACCAAACAAAATGTCCTTTTTGTGGTGTTCCCCCAAATCATGAATCTCTCCCCCATATTCAGAGGTCAAATGCGCTCGAGATTGATCCTCTCTCACTCGCCGAACTCCGTCTCCTGTCCCTTCTTGCGGGTCTTGGCCAGTTCGTCGTCCTTCTTGGATGAGCTCTTGCTGACCATCGCCTTTTGACGTTGGAGTTCGTGGATCTGGGCTTCGAGCTGTTCCACCATCTCGTCCGCCTCCCGTTCGGATGAGGAGGTGTCCATGGGGATCTTGACGAATGTCCCGTCGGTGGAACTGGAAAATGAGGGCTCTTCGATGCGGTGAGGACGGAGGAAGGCTTTCGCCTTCGCTGTTCCCCCACTGCTCATGATTGGGTATCCCTTCTTCATGCCGCTTGTCTTCTCTGTCTCCTTCTGCTGGTCGATCCACTTGAGATAGCGGGTCATCTGCCAGCAGGTGGTCTCCTCGAGGGATGTCTGGCGGCACCGCCCAGTGTAGTCTGGGTGTTGTTCCTGGACTTCCTGGTAAGTCAGTGGAGCAAACTTGCCGAATCCCATCACGTCGGTTGCCAGCGGGGGCTTGTTCTCCATGATCGCCTGGTTTCCCAGAGAGAGGAGTCGACTGATGGTTTCGTTGCCCGTGATCGTAATTCCCAGTTTCTGAGTCAGGAACACCTGCAAATCGTGTTTCTTCTTGGCGGCTTTGTTCATTTCCTTCAGCAAGTCGTCGTGGACTTTGGCCTCGGGATTTTGGTCCTTGAGCTCCACTAGACGAGCTTCCAGCTGGTTCTTGCGCCATGAATCTGGGGGTGTCTCCCCGAACTCCTTGATCTTCTGGCGGAGGACTTCTTTGGTCATGCCGGGCATCTTGACACGAGGTAAGGGATGTACTACTGGGGTTCAGGCTTTGAGTGAGGTTCAAAACTGGAACGGTAGGGGAATGTGTTGTTCCATGGGTGGTTGATGAGGCCTCGGTTGTTTGACAGGTGGCTTCACGTTTCCGGGTTTGTCCTGAATGACATCAACAGCAAACACTGAGGATTGAAAGTGGCACTTACTTGATCTGACTACTTGTCCCTCCCAAGGCTGGTCAGCTGTTCCATTTTGCCTTGGAAGGAGTTGTCCCTATTCGGGATCACGTGACTCAAGCAAGCCATAGAAGGGCTTTTCCCTTCGATGGCTATCTCTATACACATCGGAGGTCAATGGAAAAACCTGGTGGCCGCTTGAGGTTGTTTCCAACGACAGCACGCGGTGTGGGTCAACGCGTTTCAACAACATCTGGTTCTTCTCATAGTCAATCACAGCTCCAAGGCTTCGCAGTGAAGCGATGCTCAAAAGGATGGGCTGATTGGGGATGTCATGTACGTGCACCTTCATGGTGCTCATTCCTCCATGCAGCGGAACTGGCAGCTGGGCGGTGGACAGGCAAACTGTCCGGCCGTTGTTCCCAAATCGAAAGCTCGGGCGTTCCGAGGGATCGACTTGGATGTCACGACTCCTCCCTTGTCCCGCATTGATGTCGTTGATGTGGGTCAAAGCATCCACACTGCCCACTGTAGAAGTGGCCCCAGGATCGATGATAGCTTTGCCTGCCTCCAGAAGCGAACCCATCGCTAGGTTGGCAGACTCTTCAAAAACTCCTGATGTGTCTGATGGTGGTGTAGCCTTGACTCAATTGTATCACCTGAAGCGGTCGCCGTAAAGGTGAAATGCACTGCTTGTTGACTGCCTTGTTGTTCTTCCCGTTTGGGACAGGCATCTGTCCGGTGAGTTCCCCCACATCGGAAGCACTTCCGATCTGAGGTCATTCTTTCTGTTTTCCACTTGACAGTGCTCTCCCGCTTCATGGGGTAGAATTGTCGGCTCTTTCGCATCATGGATTGTTTCTCACGAGCGTCTCGGAGGGTCCTCCGGGCACCTTGTATTGCGGCCAGTGCTTCTTCTGATTCTTGTGTGAGGTAGTTGTACTCTTCAATCTCTTCTTCGGTCATCCACGTTGGCGCCGGCGGTGGCATACCTTCATGCAGGAAGGCTTCATCTTCTTCATAGTCTTCTGCAATGAGGGCTGATCCGCGGGTCTGATCCCGCTTCCTGAGGTCCTCCTCAGTCCAATTCAGCTTGAGAGCTTCCTTCACTTTCTCGGTGGTGAAATGGTTCTTCAAGCTGGCGATGATGGTGGCACGTTCCGACCCGTCCAGGCCTGAGCGTTGCAGCAGCATCCACGCCACGACAAAATCTGGCAAGAACTTTTCAGCTTCAACCGATGCATGATCTGAAACGTCGGCTTGGTAGATGTTCTCGCTTGTCATGTAGTGTGCATTGCCTTTCTCCCATGACCTTTGGTCATTCCAATAGTGATAGCTGTTGGGTTGATCCCACCAGCCATCATTGGACCACCACTGAGGTCGATGCCACTGTAGTTCTTCTTGTTGGGCTTCATCTGTGGTTTCACCTAACTCGGCGTCAGGCCGTGTTGGATCGGATTCTCGAGGACTGTGGAACCCTGGTTCCTCATCTCCTTGATGAGGAGCTGCTGCACTCTGATGTGATCTGGTCTGGCTCGCTGATGACCTAAAAGCTGATGGCCTTCGGGTTGAATATCCCTTTCCATATTCTTCGATGGCCTCTGCTAGTGTCCTTCGAGCCTCATAGAGAGCTTCATCATGCCTGACAATCCAGGCGTTCATACACTCTCCCTTTCGTCGTTTCACCTGGTAGAAGAATTTGGAGATCGTCTTGCCTGCTTCTGCCAAGGTCGGAGCTTGTACTCGTGTTCGTAGGAAAGCCAGCAACTCGTGAGCGCCCCACTCATGAGAAATCCACCCCGGTGATTTGTGCTGGACTGCGGTCTTGGCGGCTCCTTCCAAGACAGATTGGAGTCTTGGACCAGCAAGCGGTCTCTTCTTCCATTCCAGTGTCTCCACGTAGTTCAGTGCAGCTCTTTTGTATGGTATGATGTAGAGGTCGGACGACCCGTCAAAGATGGGAACCCCATCCTTGCTGTACCTAAGTTCAGCCATGCTTGTAGCCAGCGACTATGGATCTCTTCCAAAACGATGTCCCTGGATCTTCGCCCGGCTCCCTTCTTTCTAGAAGGAGCCGGGCTCCGCTACCATGCGAAGCACACGGGCGCAAGTACCCCTCGGAAGGAACTGTTTCTGTCCTTGCTAGGTGGGGCGCTTGAGTCGAGACGAGATCACCGGGAACGAGTGAGTTCGTGACCCTTGAATGCAAATTCTGCATAGACATATATAGATGTAGACATAGATATTTGATATACATCCCTTTCTGCGATGAGATGAAGTGCTTTGTCAGCCATGCTTTGGCAAACTCTCACACTTCGAAGAAAACCACACAGCAAAGGCGAAGCCCTTGATCTTCTATTGAAATCACATAAGAACCTCTGTGATCTTGATGCCTTAGCAAACTCCTCGCGTTGGCTGAACTGCCTAAAGCTGTCAGCTTGAAACTCAGTAGAATGTCACCACGGGCCGCAACAAAGCATGCTTTCCCAAACCATCCATGGGACTGCAAAAGGAAAACCTACAGGGGCAATCAGGGGCATAAGGTCATGAGCTCATGGGATTTATGTCACGGCAATGGACCAAAGGCACGGACCGTCTTCGCGAACAAGACGACTGGCACGCTTCTTGGTTCCCTCCTTTTTCACTATTAGTAACTGCGCCAGTAACACAATCGCTATTAGGTTCCCTCCCGGTTCCCTCCCAGTTCCCACCGTGGCATATCCTTCCAACGCCGGCGCGGCACGTGCCGCAGCGGCTCCACAGGCCTCGCAGCAGCGAGTGAGCTGGGCGTTTGAACTAAACAGAACAAGATCAGAAAAAAGGACACATCACACTATTAATTACTAGTAAAACTGAAACACCACTGTAATGGACTGAATTAGACAAATGTTCATGTCTTTTGGAAGCTTTAAGTCAAGCTCTCTTTCCTCGCTTGCGGGGTGGGTGACGCTGGCTTGGGGGGCCCCAGGACAAATTTAGAACACCAGGGTGTGCCTTTCGAATGCTGCGAACTTGATTTGGAATCGAGGGCCAGATTGGTGAGCATTCCAGAATGTGAGAAGCTCCTGTGAAGAACAATGGAGACCTGTTATCAGCACTCCACCCACTGCGTTCGACAGAACACACACCGCGCCGTACCAACGGCCGGGAAGCTGAGAGCAGTCCTTCGGGTCACCTGGCTGCGAGCGAAGGTTGATACATTTTTTGCCGACGTGAAGCAAATCAAGTGAAGCAAACACGTAGTGTTTCGGTGTTTTTCATTCTTTTTCCTCACACGGAAACGTCATCTCAAAATGACGGGCGGTTCTCTGACCCTGCGAGTGCCTTTGGTCCCACATGCTTGGAGTGACTGGATCTGTGCATCGGTCCAATCCCAAATTTGGTTTGTGCAAACAAGCGGAGACCGAGTAGCTAGAAGCTACTAGGTTGGAGGCCATCGCTAGTAACAAGGACCGTTCTGTTTTTGACTCCCTGACGTAAAAAGGACAGACTCTTTTTCGGCCACGCGAACCAATCTGACTAGTGAAGTCTGTTTGGCATCGCTTTCGGGCCCCCGAACTCCTGGAGATCCCTCGTTTCACGTGTCTGCTGCGCCGCAGCTTTTAGCTTCTCGAGTGCCCAGGCAAGGCGCTTAACCAACCGAGGCTACATGGTGGGGTGCGCGCTCTGCACTTATTTTGGTTTCTCAACCGAAGCGGAAGCACAAGCCAGTCACGTGGCTGATAAATAACCGGAGGTACGGATGTGCAGATGCTCCGGACGCACGGTGACTGGAAGCCAAGTCAGGACGGCTACAGTCCCTGGGGAACCCTAGGCCTGATTGGAGACATTGTTATGTAGGTGCGTCCAAGTACCCTCTGAGAAGGTACGACTGGATCCCTAGGGTACTGACTCCATTGGTTTGTTGTTGCTCTTCTCCCGACACCGTCGACTCAAAGGAACATCAAGTAGTAGCCTATCAAGTCTGACACTAACAAGGTTCGCTACTAGGAACAAGTGCATCGCTACTAGGAACAGGTACCTTACTAGTAGTAACAAGAAGCTAGTAATAAATATACGTTTAATTAGAATTCTAATAGCTTTTTGTTACTACTAGTAAGGCACTTGTTACTAGTAGCGATGCACCTGTTACTAGTAGTAGACTCCTCGTCGGTCTTTCGCCGTGGAGTCGGACGTGTCTGACGCGGGCGCCTGCCAAAAGTTCTGGGGCTCGTCGGACTCCGCGGACTCCTGGGGACGCACTGTGGAGCCCCTAGTATATAACGCTCTTGTTCCTAGTAGCGATACACTTGTTTCTACTAGCTTCTTGTTACTAGTAGTAAGGCCCTTGTTCCTAGTAGCGATGCCAGGAGCCCCTAGTAGCGTCCTTGTTCCTAGTAGCGATGCCAGGAGCCCCTGGTAGCAGTGGATGTCCGTTGACAGGAAGAAGATGCGATTCCGACAGGTGTGCTCAGTTCGTCAGTTCTGCGGCAATGGGAAATGGTGGCACGCATGTGTAGGGCAAGAACTGGTAAATTGATTCATGAACTCAACCAAGTGATCCACTATGGCACACTGAGGTCCCACCACTTATACCGGAAATAACAAGGCCCCGCTTCCAAAAGTGCCATTCACTGCTTGCCCCAGCTCCTTGGCTTTAGCCTTTCGTTGAGTGGCCCTGCGAGAGACAGCTACCTTAGCTATTGCCGACTTGCCCAAGCACCCGGGGCACAGCTAGTTCAGCTTCTCAACATTTCTCGCTCTTACGTAGGTTGCAGGCCAGTTGGAGGCCATCGCTCTTAGGTTGGAGGCCATGTTGTTACCACTTCTCGCTCTCACTATAAATCAAATGCGTAAAAT